GCCCCCCAGACAGGGGTCCTGAACCCTGAGGGCAGGCAGCCAGCAGGCTCTGGCCCCTCCTGGGGAGAAAGCAGCACAGCTGAGTTAGGAAGGGAACCCCACAGGACAGCTACAGATAAGGTAGTCCAGGAGGGTAACCTGAGTCCTCAGGCTGGGGGACCCCCTGCTGCTGAAAGCATGTGCAATGGACAGGGTCAAAGACAAGGGCAGGAGCCCTGGCACAGGGCGCCCATGATGGTTCTGCGATGACAGTTCCACTAGTCTGTAAAGAATTCTCACCCAGAGACTGAGATAACAAGGCCAACCCAGCCAACAGCAGCTCCTGCTAGCCCAAGGTCAAGGACAGCAAAGCAGACTGAGAGGCAGGAAGAAGCCCACCCTAAAGGATGGGGGGTGGCCTTGGCACTCCACTGTGTGGCAAGATCAAGGTTGATGCAATAGAGAGACGCTTGTCCCTTATTCTGGGACTCGGAGGTAGCAATCTTGAGGTTGTCCCAGCCTGGCGGGCAGCACAAAGACAGAGAAGCCCTTCATCACCTGTCCTGGGCCTGGCTGTTTTCTAGCCCCAGAGTGACCCCAGGGGGGACACAGCTCAGCAATAACCCTAGGGAAAAGTCACCAGGGTCAGGCCTGAGGTCCCAGCACCACCCCCCCACCCCCGCCCTGGCTGCTCCTTCACCTCTGCAGGAGCTTTGTCTCTCCAAAAACCACATCAAAGGCCATCTGGTAGGAGCCTCCTGCTCCCTGGATGATTCTGAACCTATACAGCACCCTGGTTCTGAGGCACCCTACACTGAGAGAATGGATCAGCTCACCAGGCTCCAGCCCCCAAAGAAACGGGGGTATCCCTCAATGGTGACCCAAGAGCTGATAGGCTCTGCGTGGCCTAGAGGTAGCAACACACATTCCCTGGACACTAAGCTTTTAAAAAAAAAACCACTTCCCATGTATGTGGCCTTGACACTTCCTCAGCTGCAGGGGGGGCTCTTTCCACCTGCCACCTCCCATTGCTAGTGTAGGAGTTCGAGATAACAAAAAAAGAAAGGAAGCAAAGCACAGGAACACTTAAACATCCCCCATCCAGAGTAAATGCTACCAGAAGCAAACACTGGGCCAGCCATGGCAGCACAGGTCTTTAACCCCAGCACTGGGAGGTAGAGGCAGGAGGATCAGAAAATGGGAGTTACAAACCAACATTTTGTCTCAGAAAAAAAGGAACGCACGAGAATACCATATTAGTGGACTGACTGCAGCAGACGGGCAGTGGCAGATGTGCAAGGCAGCTAGCCAGGCACTGGCTGAGCACTCGGGCCCCTGGCCCTGCGACCTTGACTGTATCCATGAAGGACCCAAGGTCAGAGGGTTGTGAGAATTATGCCCCACCCGGCTGGTGGCAGTGAGCCTGACACAAGCAACAGGGGCCATGTGGGCGTAGGGGACGGAAAGGGGGCGGTGACAGCCAGGAGAGGCTGCAGTACTTTCCACTGCCCCCTTGTGCCAGCAGGGGGAAGGATAGGCCGCACAGTCCTAACCATCACGGCCAAGTAAACAGCTGGGGTGCAGGAGGGAACCCAGAAAGCCCGAGGCCGCCTCTTGCATCAGAGAGACCTTGGGGAGCTACCACCTGCCTCTCTTCTCTCTCCCTCCCCAGGCCTCGGGCACTGCTCTAAGTACAGACATGGGAACAACACTACCAAACCTTTCTCTCACTTCTAGCCTCCGTCAAGGGAGCAGGGTCTAAGGGAAGAACAAAGCACAGCAACCTGTCAAATTGTCACCAAGAGCTGCAGGAAACCAAGATGGAGAAGCAGAGGACAGGGACAGTTGCAGCTGTCAGGGTAGCTCATGCCAGTAATCCTAGCCCTCGTGAAGCAGGGTAGGAAGACCACCCAGAGTTCAAGGCTAGGCTAGTCAGAAAGACCCTATCTCAAAAAAAAATAAATAAAATAATAATAATAATAATAATAATAATAAGAAGAAGAAGAAGAAGAAGAAGAAGAAGAAGAAGAAGAAGAAGAAGAAGAAGAAGAAGAAGAAGAAGAAGAAAGAGAGCTAAAAACAAGGTAAAGGAACGAGAAGGCGGGCAAAGACCTCCCTGAGAAAGACCTGCCTGAGCAAAGGGCCACTGGGGAAGGACACAGCCATTCACCCATCTAGGGAAAGAAGTTCCAAGCAGAGGCAACAGCAAATCAAATACAGAGGCCCTAAGGCTGCACTGTGTGCAGCATGCCTGAGGAGCAGGGAGGAGGCCAACATGAGCAAGAATGGGAGGCCAGAGCAGGGAGAGCCCCAGCTGTACATGGCCTGGTGGCCATGGCGAGGACCTTGGCTTTGACCTGGGCTCCAATGGGACTCACAGAGAGTCTCTGAGCAGAGCAGGGACACAGTCTCTTTCAAGTGCTGGTGGAACAGTGTGAGGGGATGAGGCAGACAGAGCCTAGGAGATAGTGAGGGATGGGAGAGGGTGCCTAATGGTTGATTCTAGACAGATGGACAGGGAAACAACAGACTCAAGATAGTCTCAAAGTAGGGATGAAGGAGCAAGTGTGACCTGCTGAGCCCAGTAGGAAGGAGCAGCCCCATGAAGGCCAGGCTGGAAGAGTGGGGTCTGCAATGTCTCCATGCCACAAGGACTCAAGATGCATGCCCCTCTTCACAAATGTGCGGGCCCTGATGCCTCAAGGTTCTCTGCCGATAAGCAAGACCATGGCTGCAGGCCTCACGTCATAGGCCAGGTTGGTGCAGCCACCCAGTCTTCCAGGTCAGCCACTCACTCATGCACCTACAACTCTGGGTATTATTCAACTATGGGACCTGCTTAGTGACTCTAGGTGGGGACACTGGCTGTTACAACCCTGCCTGACACAAACGCTTCACAAGTGCCTCTCCTTTCAAGCCCCAGTAGCCCGAGGAAGCAGGAACTGTAGGTGTCTTAGCTATTTTTCTACTGCTGTGGTAAGACCAAGACCATGCCCAGGGCTTTCTTATAAAATAAAGCATTTAATTTGGAGCTCATGGTTCCAGTGGTTAGAGTCCATGACCCTCACGGCAGGGAACATGACAGGAGGCAGGAAGGCATGGCACTGGAGCAGTAACTGAGAGCTCACATCTTGAAACATAAACATGAGGCAGAGAAAGACAACTGGAAATGATGAGGGCTTTCTGAAACCTTCAAGCCCATCCCCAGTGACACACCTCCAACAAGGCCACACCTCCTAATCCTTCCCAAACAGTTCCACCAACTCGAGACCAAGTAGTAAAATATGTAACTCTGTGGGGGCTACTGTCATTCAAACAACCACAGCAGGCTTCACATTCACATCCCAGATGAGGAAGCAAGGTCCACAAGCTCTGAAGCACAACCAGGTCACCTGGGAATGAATGCCTGAGCCAGGATGTCAGCCATGTACAATTCCAAAGCCGGCCATGAGTTCACAGCGACGCAGAGAGCAAGACAACCCAGCCATAAAGCCAGCACCTCCATGGGGCAGAGCAGCATGCTCTCTCTGCTCAATGCTACCAGAACCTCTGTGGTCCTTCAGCCAGCTGTTGCAAGCACTCATAAGGCATAAGGGCATGTACATTCTTCTTAGGGTTACTGCTGAGCCCAGAGAACAGAGACCTGGCCCAACTGTTGGCCTAAGCACGGTGCAGGAAGCTTACCAGTCACAGACAGACAGCTTCCCCGTGTTCACCTGACTCCAGCTCATCTTTCTGGCTGCCATTCCCTTTTACTTTCCAGAAATACCCAGTAACCCTAATAATGTTATGATAGCTGATGACTGGGACGCAGCTGCCAGAAAACCAGAACAGACTGCACCTGCTATAACCCAAACTCGCCCTTCCCTAGCGGTCTTGGCATTTGACTTCATTTCTCCAAGGCGCACCAGGGGCAAGGGAGCATTCCTTCCCTACCAGGCTCTCTCGGGGACAGTAGTGGGAAACAGGCTGCCCAGGGCAGGAACAGCAGACACTGGCCACCTATACTTGGCCTGTGACCAGGCCTTGTCTCCAGTCCCTGTGGCAACATGACAGGAGCCAGGGTCTGAACACCATGTCCACAGGCTCTCAAGTCAGGACTGGCACCAAGTGCAGAGGCCACAGCAGTGAAGTGGAGGAGGGAAGGGTGTGGGGAGCACTGGCTGACAGCTGACATCTTGAGACATAGGGAGGGGAGGGGAAGGAAGAGGGGGAAGACTGGGCTGGAGAGACAGCTCAGCAGGTAGATGCTTGCCACCAAGCCTGATGACAAGGTTCTACCCCCAGGATTCACATGGTGGAAGGAGAGAACAGATTACTGCAAGGTACTCTGACTGCACCATGCAAGCACACAGATGTCCATGCACACCATAGCACGCACACGCACATGCACGTGCACGTGCACACACACACACACATTTTCTTTTTCTGTTGGGGATTTCTATTTGTTTTGTTTTTGAGACAGGATCTCACTGTACATCCCTGGCTGGCCAGGAATTGGCCAGGTAGATCAGGCTGGCCTTGAACTCAAAGATCTACCTGCCTCTGCTTCTGCCCAACAACATTTTTTAAGTTTCTTTGTGCTGGGTATAGCAGTATATACTTTTAAACCCAGTATTCTGAAGGCAGGGGAAGATAGATCTCTGTGAGCTTGAGGCCAGCCTAATCTACAGAGTGAGTTCCAGCCCAGCAAGGGCTACAGAGTAAAAGCCTATCTCAAAAAGCAACAAAAAGCTGCACTGACCTCTAGCATCACAAAGAATTAAATAAAAATAAACAAAAGTGAGGTATGGCTGAATGGTAGAGCATTTGACTAGTATATACAAGGCTCTTAAGTTACATCCTCAGCATGGCACAGAGGTAGGAAGGAAGAAAGGGACACCCACGACCCAGTTATCCAGAAGGCAACTCACACAGTCACACACATGGACACCAGCACTACAACACAGCTTACCTGCAAGGGCCAATCTCCATTTTCAAATGCATGCAGAATGTATTGCCTACACAGGACATGTGGGTGCTACAGAGGAGCCAAGGGCTGAACCAGAACCCCGTGTACCTACTTCTGCTAACCCAGCCTGGCACAGTGAGGCTATAGCCAGACCACCTTCTAAAACCAGAGAAGCCAAAGGCAGGGTGAAGCAACAACTCCATGTTTTCCAATGGCAGGCGAAGGCTACCCTCCCGCCTGGGAAAGCAGAGTTGTCTCCAACACTAGGTAAGGTCGGACAGGCAAATGGGAATGTTCACAACGACTGCTGTGGGCCAAGTGTGGCGGTCACGGGGCAGAGGAAGCTGCATCCAAAGCTAACCTGGGCTACACAGCAAAATACTGTCTCAAATAAAATTAAGAATAAAAAGATTGCTATAGCACCACCCAGTGGACTGGCAGGAAGAACCCTGCCCTAGTTGCCAGAATCCGGAAGTCTAACAGTTGCCTGGCATCTACGGTTTCAAAGGAAGGGCTGAGACCTAGACTTCACCTGCAGAAGGCTCTGAACTCAATTCTTACCCCCCCCCAAAAAAAAAATCTTTCTGGTGGCTGGGCTATATCTCCGTGGACAGCAGGAGCTTAGTTGTGTACAAGGCCAGGGATTTTATCCTCAGCACTTCCCAGGGCCGGATGGGGCAGCCATCTCCAAACACCCCTGTCACGCTGATGTGGCCCACCCAGAAGTCTCCCCAAGCCCAGAAGTCTCCCCAAGCCCAGAAGTCACTCCCTTGCTCTCCTCCTCTTTCCCTCAAGGGCATGGCCAGGCAGTATGCACATCTGCCTTGCTGCTCTCACAAGGCTGCTGGCGTGAGACTGTCACCCTAGTGAGCAGAAACTGCAGCTGGGGAGCTGTCTCCAGCCCCAGGACAAGGCTGAGGACTCAGAGGGCTGGACCTCGCCTGAGTTTGTTCCTTAGTATGGATGAGCCCTCACTGTGGGAGCAGCAGCCTGGGTACCCTCTGCCCTCCTCCAGAGGTGCACCTGTCCTCTTCCTGGGCCCTCACACCTATTACCCTCTTGCAATTGGTGATCTAATGCAGGCCTCTCTCCACTACAGGAAGACTCTGACAAGCCAGGAAGCTTAAGGAAGCCAAAGACGCTGAACCTGAGGAAGGACTGACTCATCGGCCACTGCCCATTGTGCCCACTGCTGACTCCACCCAAGCCAGCAGGCAGGTGAGTCTGTCCATGAGCTCAGCTTGCCAAACAGCCCTCTAGGATCCTTATTCACAACTCATTCTTAAAGAAAGATTTCTTCTTTACTAGTGATCCCTTTGTATGTGAAAAACCACAGCACATTCAGGTCTCTGGAGATTCAGCCATGGAAAGAGAGAAGCTTGCTGAGTATATATAAGGTCTCGTTTCAACCCCAGTATAAAAGAGAGGCAGCAGGAAAATGAATATAGTAAATAGTTCTATATAATATATAAGAAGGTAAGAGGACATCCAAAATGAAGCATGAAAAGGAGAAAGGGGTGTGTTGTGTGCATGAGGCAAGTGTAGATTTTTACATAAAGTGGTCAAGAAATGCCTCCCTTGCCATAACGAAGGAGTAAAGAGCCTAAAGGCGGCCATCCTCAAGGGAAGAGCAGCTGTGCACAGACCTGAAATGAAGCCTAGCAGGTGCTCACACTGTGGCCTAGAGTCATGTGCACGAGAGAATGGAGAGGTGTGAACAGGAGGTGACGTGGCAGACGGGCCCAAGGCGTTGGTGAGGATTTGGTCTTCTACTGTGAGTGGGAGCTTTGGAGAGCTCTGGGCAGAAGAGGGTAGGGCCTGACTTGAGTTTATTTTGCTTGCTGTGTTTTGATTTTTGACACAGGGTTCACTGTGTAGCCCTGTCTGACCTAAGAGCTCACTCTATACGCCACGCTTGTAGTGATCTGCTGCCTCCTGAGTGCTGGGATCAAAGACCTGCGCCACCACCCCCAGCTCTGGCTTGGGTTTTTAAAGGATCCTTTTGAAAATCAGTCTGGGGACAGAGTCCAGCTCAAGGCTGGGAAAATAATTCCCTCAAAATTCCAATGGTGCTAGGCATGGTAGTACATAGAGGTAACTCCAGATGAGAAACCACATCTCAAAACTCTTACACTGTATTTCCCTCAAGTCCTATGCATGTGTGTTCCTGAAATTACTTTGGAGCTTGACGGTACAGCTCAAGAGTAAGGCACAAGGCTCTGGGTACCATCCCAGCAATGAGGAAGAAAATAATAACGAAAAAAAATCTTTCCCTCAGCTTAGGGTGGGAAATGATGGCTTTGGTGAAGAAACTGGCTAACGGGCCAGCTCTGGCCACTACTGGGGTTTCATTGTTGCTTTTGTTTTACTTTTGTTCTTGTGGGGGAAAAAAACCAAAAACAAAACAACAACAACAACAACAACAAAAACCTAACTATATAGCCCAGGTTAGCCTTAAATGTCCATCCTTCTGCCTCCGTCTAGAGTGCCGGGATGACAGGCTGCTTACACCTGGCCCCACTGCACATTTTTATAAAATCAGGAACGACTTTTACATTTTTTGTTTGTTTGTTTTTCGAGACAAGGTTTCTCTGTTAACAGCCCTGGCTATTCTGGAACTCACTCTGTAGACAGGCTGGCCTCGAACTCACAATGATCCGCCTGCCTCTGCCTCTGGAATGCTGGATTAAAGGTGTGCACCACCACTGCCTAGCTGAATTTTACATTTTTAACTGATTTGTTTCAAGACACATGTATGCAAGTGGAATTCCAACATCTAGGTCCACACGCCGACTTCTGGAACACCCCACCAGGCCTGCCAGTTGGCACCCCAGCGGCTCCTGTGCCTCAGGAGCCCACCTGAGGAAGGGCTGCTGGGCCAGGCCCAAAAAGCCTAGCAGATTGATCCTGGCCCTCTTCAGACCAAGCATGCCAGCCTGGCTTTAGCCTACCACTCTGGGAGGGCTGCAGCCAGACGGGCAGAGGGAAGGGGCGTGCTCACGTTTGACAAGGAGAGACAGCAAAGTGGCCGAGGAGAGGGAGGCACAAAGGCACGGCCTGCCATTAAACAGGAGAGGACACTGAGGTTGGGAGGGAAGCTGAAGGTGGGACTCAGGTTTGGACATACTATTTTGTTTTGGTAGTTTGGGAGTTGTCTTCATTTTCAGTTGTTTAGTGTGTGTGTGTGTAAGTGTATCCCCTGGAACTGGAATCACAGATAGTTGTGAACACGAAACTCAGGTCCTCTGTAAGAGCAACACGTGCTCTTAAATGCTGAGCCATCTCTCCAGCCCCTACCACCACCAGCACCATTTAAAGTTGACATGTAACTTATTTTTACCTCAGAATGAAGTTACTTGTAAATGACATCATCTCTAGACTACTGCACTGAACATTTTATGTAAACATTGATGGGATTCTATTAGTCTATAACAGCTAAACAGTAAGTTAATACATCATTACCTTTAATCCCAGCACTCAGGAGGCAGAGGCAGGTAGATCTCTGAGTTTGAGGCCAGCCTGGTCTACAGAGTGAGTTCCAGAGAAACCCTGTCTTGAAAAAAACAAACCTAAGCCAGGAATGGGTGTGGTGTGGATACTTCAGGAGGTTAAGGCAGTAGCATCAGTGGCTTCCAAAGAAGCTACTGTAATCTGCCTTGAGGCTGAGTTTCTCCCTCCACCCCAGCACCCTGCAGCAAGTCACAACTAGAGGCCAGCCTTCCCTGCTGATCAAACGGAGGCTGCGAAGTGAGGCAGGATCTGCTGTAGGCCAGGCTTGCTCAGGCCCTTGACCCCCTGCCTCTGCTGTGCAGAGACGACAGGATGTTGCCACCATAGCAGGGTCTTCTCTGTCTTAATGTAAACACTAGCTGTGATCACAGGCATAATGGGGAGGGAGAGGAAAGAAAACAGAGCTGAATGAACTACCCCAGTTCCTCAGCCCAGAATGCTGCATTAGCTGCAGGATGCCCTGCTTCATCTATGATGGGGATGTCCACAGTCAGGGCCACGGGTGCACACCTGCTATCCCAACACTTGGCAGGCTGAGGCAGGAGGATTGCCAGGTCAGCCTAGGTAACAATAGTGAGACCCTATCTCAAGAACTAACCTAAGAGGCTGGCAAGTACAAGGACCTGAGTTTGACTTAAGACTACAGGGGGAAAGCCAGGAGT